CAGTGGCAAGCAGGAAAATAGTTTGTCAATAATGCAAGAGGACAATATCAAACAGTCATTATTCCAGCTAAAGTCAGTTCATTGATGATTCAGTGATGTCAAATCTAATTCAACAGATATTCGTAAGCTGGATTTGTAAATGTTGATTGAAGTTTCCCTCATCTCAAAATACATTTTAGAATACTATTCACAAAGGCTTGAAGTGTAAATTGGCACATTTAAATGCACAGTCTTACACCGATTATGTTTGATACACCAACAATGTTTAAGTTCATGCATTAAATGTGGTTCTTTTCTCAGCGACAGTTCATAGATAGTTAAACAAAAACCCAGCCGAGGAAATAATATATAATATATTGTAATAATAATAAATTGTTGATAAAAAATTATTATAATGTATTATTTATTTTCAATTGAGGTCACACTTTAAATGGGGTTCTTTTCCCAGAGACTTCATAAACAGTCAAGAGAAAAAGACATCAAGAGAAAATAATCTTTTTCATTAAAAAATTATGTATAATATTATGTAATAATAATAATAAGCTCAAATATTTTAAGAAATATCATAATGTATTTTTATTAATAGATCCACTGCTGCTGACATGGCGTTAAATCATAAATAAATAAATAATTAATAGATCATTAATCTTTAATAATAATAATAATATAACATTATTATTGATTATAAAATTATTGAAATATTGTTAATAATAAATTAGTACAATAAAATTATAATTTAACCAATTTTAGTACAATAAAAATAATAATACATAATACATTTTTACAAATGTAAACAGCTTTTATAAACTTTTCTGAAGTTGTCTTCTGATAGTTAGCAGCTATATAGTTATTTGTTATGAATGTAAACACTCAATGTTAAACAGAACCAAATTCTATCAACTTTAAGATTGAGATTTCTGTTTTTGATTGTCCAAAGGCAATTGCACATTATGAACAAGCTGCTGACTATTACAAAGGAGAGGAATCAAACAGGTAAGCCTGCTTAGTAGAAGCCAAATAATAAAGGTCTTGTTTCCCCCCCAATCCAATTTTTACAGCTCTGCAAACAAGTGTCTGCTGAAGGTGGCTTCATACAGTGCCCAGTTAGAGCAGTACCCGAAAGCAATAGAGATTTATGAGCAGGTAAGCCATCTGTCGATCTTCAGCAGATTATTGCCACATTACTCGCTCACCAGCAGTCGCTAAATCACTCGGGAATTCCTGTCTGTAAACAGGTTGGAACCAACACCATGGACAATCCCCTACTGAAATACAGCGCCAAAGAATACTTCTTCAAAGCTTCCTTGTGTCACTTCATCGTGGATGAGCTAAACGCAAAGGTCGGCTCTCCATCAGGTCATCATGCATGCATATATATGGAGAACTGCTGCAGATAATATGTGTGACTTCCTTTCTGTTGTAGCTCGCTGTTGGAAAGTATGAAGAGATGTTTCCAGCCTTCTCAGATTCAAGAGAATGCAAGCTTCTGAAGGTTTGTTATAATACAGTTTACAACATATGAAAACACATTTTGTAATCGGGGTGGTTTAGACTAGTGGGTAAAGTCTGCTTGCAGTGAAGGACTCAAACCATATCTGACAGGATAGTCAAAACTGGTATGTTTTCATCTCCGGAAGTGATTTTTTTGGAGCATTTTTATATCTTTATAAGGGTAATTTTTATAAAGGTGGCATACATGTATTTACACAACAGTTGAATAATGTTATGACTGTGATTATTGTAATTTTCAATAGCCCACATGAAGTATATCAAATTAAAAGGCAGGAACTTATTACAGGCTAGGGCTGCAATATTTTTATCGATTATTGCCCTTGATATTGTGTGTGGAGAAACGGCATATTCTTTTAGTCTTTTTTTTACTCATAAAATCAAGACTTCACATTGGTTATCTTAGTAGTGGTAAACGGCTATTCATATCTGAAATAAATTATATACAGAAAGCGAACAAAGAACGTTCCCCATCACTGAAGCAGTCTGCAATGCTGCAAAAACAATGTGTAAAATGAATTTTTGATGCAACGTGAACAGATCTAAATGTAATGCACTTATGTACTTTTTTAAATTCATTTTCATATTTCACTTTAATCATGACAGTCGTAATAGATTTAGTTACATTGTGTGGGGGAATTTTTTGTCTCCGTTTCTTGAATTTGGTGGGCATTTATGTTCATTTTGATGGCATTTTTCTAGGGTTGCAAAGGGGTGGAAAATTTCTGGTAAATTTCCAGAAACTTTCCAAAAATTCCTGGAAAGTTTCCAGAATGTTTCTGAAATTTACTGGAAATTTTCCACCTTTTTGCAACCCTACATTTTTAAACCTTTGTTAATTTCCGAACCCAGAACCTCCTAGTAATTGCATAGTATCATGATGAAAACCACTCCGAAAACATTTGCAATACCCAGGCAATCAATCACTCGCATTGAGTTTTGCACCACTTTCAAAAATTAATATTCATTGTTGTATACTTATAAGAGGTTTTGTCCTCGCAGAAACTTCTAGAGGCCCATGAGGAGCAAAATGCAGAGGCTTTCACAGAAGCGGTATGACTTTTACCTTCAGCTTCTTTTAAAAAAAATACATTTGTTATCATTGTTCCATTTGATTTTTAAAAAGTAAATGACATTTTTTTTTTATGTTAAAATACTTAATACTTCAACCACTGGCATGAGTCTGGAGTGGGGCTGCTGATGCGTTCAAGTCATGTTCAAAAGTTCGTATTTACGAGTTGAACGCACATGAACGTCCCCACAGTGTTTAAATTACAAGAGGGAAACTGAACTTTCTTTAAGCCCCAGGTTGAGGGTGTATTGGTGGGAAAATATGGCAGACGCAATAGATTCAGCGTCTATATTGACGATAAATTTGTTGAAATGTTTTTTTTTTTATTTACTATAAAACTAGCTAAGTTAGATGTACAAAATATGGTAGTATTGTAGAATCAGAATAAAATATATAACAATTCAATTTACAGTACTTTCATAACTTGATAAAAACACTTGGCAAAAGCACCTGATGTGCATTTCTTTTTTCATCATTTTGTAGAGTTTAAATAATTTTACTGAATTTTTTTGTTGAGAAGGTACATTGTCATCTTTCTCTGATAAGTAACTTGAACTCATAAATACAAACTTCCCTGGTGGAGTTGAATGCACCACATCTACTCGGACAGTTTATTTTTGCAGTTTTTTTTTTTTGGTGACGCTAACATCACAGAAATCTCATATTGTGTTCATTCTTTCATCGTCTTTTAGGTGAAGGAGTTTGACTCCATCTCACGCTTGGACCAGTGGCTCACCACCATGCTTCTGCGGATCAAGAAGACCATTCAGGGGGACGAGGGTGACCTAAAATGATCTGGACAGTGGGGCGATCACCCACTGCATGGCACCCTCCTTCCCCCCTTCCAATTCACATCAGTTTCGTGCAATGGCCAAGTCCGGGTTTCCCAAAACAGTATGTCAAAATGTATTGCTGCTGCATTTCTAGAGAATATACTTCTAAGCCTGTACTGTTACATTGATATCCAGTTATATAATATAGCACATATCAAAATTTAGCACTCCAGTTCAAAGATCTGCTCTGGTTTCCCTGTTGCATTACGGAGTGAACCGGTTCAGGACAGGGAAATTCAAGAATACAATGGGGATTTGAGATAGTCCTCGAGTTCTTTAGCAAAAGTCATTGAATTGCGACGTGCTAGAGCTGCATGAATTGTACAGATATAATTATTCAGTCAGTGCAGCAGGATTGTGTATTATTATTATTATTATTATTATTATTTAGACACTGTTTTTATTTGTGCCGTTTTTTTAGTCTGCTCACACTAGTTGGCATGCAGGCCTCAATATGCTTTTTGTCCACATTTAATAACATCAGACATTCATGCAAGACTGAGAATTTCAGTTGCCCACAATCCATCATTTTGAATTGGTATTTAAATTATTGCAAAAATGTCTTGTGTCATACCCGATGGAAATAATTTCTTCTTTATCCACTCTCTGAAATGCTACTTTTGGGTTGTTTTCTTAAATGTATATTTATTTAATTAAATTGTTATTTGAACTATTAATATTAGTTTATTATTTATTATTAGTCTAATAATATAATTAGTCAGAAATATTATAAATATATTATTAGTCTATTAATATTGTATTAATAAAAAATAATAATTTAACTACATTTTTACACCGTCTATCATTTCCATCAGCACTGAAATTGATGCATTTGTAAAATCCTTGTATCACTCACCCCTGTATTAATATGCTCAATGTGTGTCGTGTTGTGATGCATAGCTCATGTACACTCTCCACTCCTGTGGTGTTTAGCAGCGTATGTCATTCTGTGTTCTATGTGTCGTGACGTCTGTATTTTACCATATTCTAGTTTTTAAGAAGCCATGAAGACGTACAGTACCAAACAATGAACTTTCCCACAGAGCAACTGATGTCTTTGCTGAATGTCTGTGAGAATGTACAGAAATAAAAACCAATACTGAAATGGCTACACGATTTAGGCAAGTGAAAGTCTGTTATATTACCTAGTTAGTGGTGTTCGCTAAGCCAAGTATCACTATTACACTATAACGCAGTTTACGCATTACATTTTGGTGTGTAACTCTTGCACTGTTTGTGCTGCGGACTTTGACAATAACTCAAATAACGTTGTTAGTTAAGAAAAAGTTAATATAAGTATATGTAAATAATATTTAATTTAATAAAATTTTCTATGTGTGTGTATAATATTTACAAAATAAATTTGCTGCCCAATCAAACATGATTGAGTACCCACTATATATATATACATACACACACACACACACACACACACACAGACACTTATATTTCACATATTTTCTCTATATTTCAACCCAAAATTAAAACAACATTTTTTATAATTTATAGATAAATTAGAATTGAAACAGAAAAATACGGAAGCTGAATTCAATAGACATTTTATTGAGTGATTTTAAGGAGCGTTGTCATGGTTATACACATAATAGGATACTAAAAATGAAGAATTGTGTTATGTACTTGTAGTGTTGAGCATAATAAATATTAGCAAAGAGCATTACTGACAAAAAAAAAAGTTTTTTGGTTTTACAAGAATCACTAAAAAACTATTTAATGACAAGACATACCCTAGAAATGGAAGGGAAAATCATACATGTTGTCAAAAACAAACCCAAGCAAAATTTAACATTGTGATTTAAGAATTCTACTAGTTAAGCACATTATAGATGGTTTCATAAAGCAAAAGATTTATTTACAGCTGATAATTTAAAGCAATGCTTGATTGTGACATGATTGAGTATTTTCAACTGAATCAGGTAGAATCTACTCTCCTACTGAGATTTCGATGTTGTTTGAAGTCTCTGCAGTGTGTATGCTTTCACTGACTTCCTGTTGGATGTCTGCACAGTCCATCTCTCCCACCGTAACAGCCTGGACCGATACACACCCATCGACTGCAGCCGAAGTCAGACCGTTCTCTGTTGCTTCAGCTTCTGATGTCGCCGCAGTCATTGCCGGAGCCAGTAAGGTGTCTGAGATGTGACTGGTGATGGTGATGGGCACAGAACCGGATATCGATGGAGACACGCTGATGGAATGTGCGACTGAAATGGGGATGGAAAAGGGAACGGTCACGGGCATCCCGACCACAGAAGCATCCAGAGAGATCACGCTGGTGCCGTCCGTGGTGACTAAGGGCTGCAGTTGCGTGCCTGCGGGCACTTCAGTCTGGATGACCGTGAGGCCGCCCAGGGCCGTGTGGCTGACCAGCGCGATGGTTCCAGGTCCGGCCCAGTCTCCGGAAATGGTTACGGGCTCTCCGGACACAGCCACCACTTCTTGGGTCTTCTGTGTGTCGCTCTCTGGAGCCTGCGCTTCGGAAACAGCGGCCACCGCCTTGTCCTTGAGTTTGAACTATAAATAGCCAGAAAAGTGGAACTGGTGTTCTGAAACTGCTAACAGGAAGTTAACCTTTGATTGATTATGTTCTAGATTGAAATACAAGTTCTTGGACACATTTAGACATGGATTACACTACCATTTAAATGTTTGTTTGTGTAACTCTCTTATGTTAATCAAGGCTGCGTTTATTTGACCAAAAACACAGTTAAAACAGTAATATTGTGAAATATTATTGGAATTTAAACTAACTGGTTTCTATTTGAATGTTTTTTAAAATGTAATTTATTCCTGTGATGCAAAGCTGAATTTTCAGCATCATTACTCCAGTCTTCAGTGTCACATGATCCTTCAGAAATCATTCTAATATGCTGATTTGCAGCTCAAGAAACATTTATTATTGTAAATTGATAAAAAAAAAAATTCTGGATTTTTTCGTGAATAGAAATGGAAATGGAAATTTGTTTGAAATGGAAATCTTTTGTAATTTTATAAACATCTTTACTGTCACTTTAATCCTTGCTGAATCAAAGTATTAATTTCTTCATAAAAATTCTCACCTAAACTTTAAATGGTAGTGTACAAATTCAGTAACAGATTTAGTTGGCATTTATCATATGCATACTAGTGCCTATAAAAATATTCACAGCCCTTTCTGGACTTTTTGCACTATTTATCAGTTCAGTACATCATGATTTAATGTTGTAATGCAATGAACTTGCACGAAGCCCATGGGCGTGAATATTTTTTACAGTCACTATAAAGCCACTTATTAAACCGTGCTGTGAAAAGTGGCAGGTTCTTTACCAGGGTGTGCCGGCGTACGGTGGATTTGTCTGTAAACGTTCTTCCACACATGCTGCACATGTACGGCTTCTCTCCCGTATGGATTCTCTGATGCCTCTGCAGGGCGTTGAGTTGAGTGAACTGCTTATCACAGTCCTTACAATGATACGGTCTTTCACCTGTGAAGAAAGCAGCAGTGACAACTGATAAGTTCTGGTTTTAATGATCATGCACATTGTAAAATATACACAAGCCTGTGACCGTACAGCAGTTGTGCATTGCTTGATCATTGCTAGTCTAGGACTATATTACCTTGTGGCTGTTTATTGTGATTATAATTAATTCAGTTATTTGTAGCACTTTGGTATCTTTCATCAAATTGCTTTTGCCATTATTTGATATAACATCAATATGCTTTAGTGTATATGACATAAAAGGCCACTTTTGCACTTTTTGAATGAAATGCATAGCGATATTGGATTATTTGTGGAAGATACCAGTGTGTATTTTCATATGCTGGTGGAGGGAGTTCCTCTGTGCAAATGCTCTTCCGCAGGTTTCACATTTGTAGGGTCTGAATCCTGAATGGATTCTGTTGTGATGTTTCAGGTATTCTTTGGATGCAAAGCTCTTCCCACAGTTCTCACACATGAATGGCTTTTCACCTAGACAGAGAAGAGGAAGTCATTATATTTTGCCATCAAATTATTTCTCTCTAAGTAACAGGAAACCGCTGGCTCACCTGTGTGGCATCTCCTGTGATAAGACAGCATGTGGTTCTGGGTAAATCTGGCATCACAGAGGTCACAGGCGAAAGGTTTCTCTCCAGTGTGGATCCTGGATTAAAAACACAAGATAGAATGCATAAATATTAAATGCGAAACCCGAGATGTTCATTAGGGATGCATAACGACCATTTTGGTATCTGCAACTTGGCATTTAAAAAAAAAAAACTATCATAGAGTTATAAATGCACCGATTTTAAGTAATTTTTTCTGCACTAATATTCTAAAATCTTATATTATTTAATTTTATGTATAGATGAATATAATATAATATAGATTTGTGCATTTAGCAGATGCTTTCATGCATAAATGTAAATAATATCATTTAATATATTATAATATGATGACCAATATTATGTTTGGTAATTGGCCATACCATAAAAACAACTAGATTTTAAATTCTGAGGAAATATAATATAATAAATATAATATATAATATACATTTATGCATTTAGTGGACACTTTTTCATAAATGTAAATAATATATTACATTATTTTATTTACATTTATGCATTTAGCTTTTATGCATGCATGTAAACAATCAAATATAATTTCACATGCAAAAAATAAATAAATAATATGATGGCCAATGTTATAATATGGTCAGTTATTGACCATAAAAAACAACTAGATTTTACATTATTACATGTAAATAATATAATTTACATTTATGCATTTAGCTTTTATGCATGCATGTAAATAATATAATATAATATACTTACATTTTAACTATACATTTACAACTATACATAACTATACATTTTGTGCAATGGCAGCATGTTTTGGCTGGCTGCCAGGGTGTTGCTATACAGTTGCTAAGGTTTTGTGAGCAGGTTGCTAATACACTTTGGGTGGTTACTTACTGACTAAAGCCAATTTAAGGTAGCGTTTATGTATTTAGCACCCTAATATTTAGGGTTCGGGGTTTGTATAAATGACTTGTATGGTGTAAACTGGAGCATCCCTGATGTTGCCCACTACCTTTGATGTGTCTTGAGTGCTGAACTCTGGGAGAATCTAGATCCGCACTCATCACATTTGAAGGGTTTGTGCCCCGAGTGTGTCCTCTCATGCAGCGTCAGGGCGGTTTTGGAGCTCAGAGATTTGCCGCAGATGTGGCAGTAGTGTCTGTCCGTGCCGCCCTCGTGCACCTGTCGCCTGTGGCGGGTCACGTCCTTCTTGCGCTTGAAGGTTTTGTTGCAGATCTCGCATGGGAAGAGCCTCTCATCATTGTGCACGTGCCGCTGGTGGATTTTCAGGTTGCAGCGGTTGGCGAACGTCTGCTGGCAGACATCACAGCGAAACGTGGTGTCCATCTGGACCCCGTGGTTGACCTTCAAGTGCTTCAGATAGCTCTTTTCATAGTAGAATGAACGGCTGCATTTCTCACATCTGTACTTTGCGGTTCCTCTCTTGATTTTCTTCTCGGCTTCATCCATTTCCTCATTAGGCTGGAAGTCTGATTCTTGAGGGTCTTCTTCAGGCACATCATGAGCGGATTCTGACCCAGTGTCATCGCAAGTGTCTTTTTCACCCAATGCGTCCCGTGATGATTCTGCCTCGGGATCTTGGGGCGTTTGCTCCTCTTCTGCTGTGCCGGATTCATCAAGGGTTTCTGCTTGCTTTCTCTTTGGCTTTTTCAGAGGAGAGTCTACAGACACTCTGCGACCCGCTAACCTCCTGCTTCTCCTGTCTGGTTCTGTCTCCTTCACATTTTCAGGCACTTTTAAAGACTTTTTTCTCTTCATCGCTCTTTTCACAGGTTCTTGTTTGGTCTTGACTTCAGTTTTTGGAGTATTTGAATCCACGCCATCCTTCTGCAGGGTTTCATCTGAAACGCCGCTGGGAATTTCTGCCTCGCAAGCATCCACTAAGTCCTGGCACTTCAGGAGTTTAGCCATTTGCAGTACGGTGCTGATGTAACTCTTCTCCACCTCGATTTTTCCAAAATACGCATACTCTAAGAATTTCTCAAATGCATGTGGTAAGAAGTCACACAAGAATATCTTTTTCACTTGGTCATTAGCTAACAGATGGGACTCGAAGTAACCGCTGGATGCGGCGAGGACCACCCGATGGGCTTCAAACTCCTCCAGCTCTTCTTGAAAATCCACCTGTACCGTGATGTCACACAGGTTTCCCATGGTCCTTAGCTTCCACATGGCATTGAGCAGATTTTTATGGTGAGAGCTGGATTGCAATTGAACCAATCCATCACTCATTTTCTCTGGGTTCTCCAGCTGCCGGAAGAACATAAATAAGGTAATTAATTTATTAATTAGACATTTATCATTTATATATATATATATACTGTGTGTGTGTATATATATATATATATATATATATATACTGTGTGTGTGTATGTATATATATATATATATATATGATCATATATTATACACACACAGTAATAAATGCATTTACTGTGACAAATTTGATAAAACTGGTTGTTAATATTATGATAAAAGAACACTTGGACTTGGAAATCACTTTGAGTTTGTTCTATAATTAATACATTATTATAACCACTGTATTTCTGTACTAAAGCTTTGTTATCTACATAAATGTTAAGCCATTTATTGTACATGCTAAACTTGAGCTTTGCTAGTTATGGTAACGGCCCAAAATAAACCAGTAGTTTACAGTCCCATTCAGATGTCTTTTATTTGCATAATTCTTTATACGAGTTCATTTAACTGCTTTGGTGCAAAAACCGACCGGAGAAAAGAAAGTAAATAAAAGGAGACGCTAAAGCAGTTAGCATCATTAGCTTTGTCTTCAGATGAGCGATCTCTGTGCTAATGTAACTTAAGAGCGAACTACACGTGAATAGAAGACATGTTTAATGTCCATCTGTGACATGCAGTGAAAGGAGGGTTTGCATAACAGGCTGGAGATTTCTTACCGTAAGGCCAGTAAAACGGCAGCCCTGTACAAATCAAATCCACAGGCACAACAAGAGTATTTCCGGTAGAACGCGCACCTAGCGTACATTAAAGCCGAAGGCATCATGGGAAATTGAGTTCATCTGTAAAAGATTATCTTGATTCCTGACCAGATTTGGTGTATTTTTAAGTCACAAATTCTGTGTAATAATAATAATAATACACTTTATTTATTAATGGAAATAAAGTGTAAAACTCTACAAGTACATAAGGATTTTTTTTTACATTGTTTAAAGTTCTCTTTTATTAACTTTTCTTTGTTTTTTATTAGTTTGTTTGTGTTTTGTATGGTTAGGTGAGATTTCTCTGACCCCCCTTATATATAAACGTGCATGAATTAAGCACTATTTTTTTTCCCAAATGAAAGCTGTATCACTCCAGTCAGTACAGTGTTGTTTTATATTTTAAGATTGGATACATAACAATTCTACATAACTTGCACTACAGTTTTTTTGTCAGACTTCTAAAGACATGTCAGTGGTGGAAAAATATTGCTCACACTGTAGACAGCTGCCCACTTACTCTGTTCCTGTGGCTTGTGACCTTAAAATACTAAAGGGCAACTGAGTTCATGGGTAACCCACGCTTACTATTTTAACCTGTGAATGTATACAAGGAGGTCTGCAGATACAATCTGCATGCATTTTGGGGGAGAAAAGGCCCGTGAGCAGTTATTTTTTCTATATTTCTCAGACCGTACCAGTGCAGGTGTGTAGAGATTTGTGCAGCCTTCCAATACAATCTGAAACACCAGCCTCGAGACTCATGTTCACAGATGGACAGAGATGAAGCCCAACAAGCTTAGTTTTCGGTTTTATTACAGAGCTGCTGGCAGTAAATCTGTGCAGTAAATAAATGGGCTCAGAACTGAATCTCACAAAATTATATCGCACATGTAGCCACGGTTTAAACACATCTTCAGATGATATGTAAAGCTATTAGCTATTTAATATTAAAAATACAGTTTTATTTTTGCAGATTAAAGCTGTGTTAGGAACAGCATACTATTATTCTGGAATTTTGAAAAAAAAAACTATTTTTGAATTAATAATAATAATAATAATAGTTATATATATATATACACATACACACACACACACACACATATTATATATATATATATATATTTTATTTTTTTTCACACAGACTTTTAAACACCTTAAAAAAATCACTTTAAGTATGTTTTGTATTTAATACAACCTCTGTTTTTTTTTCTTCTTCATTCAAATCTATATTAGTATTTCATTTTTATTTTTTTCCTCTGTAGAGGACATTATATTTTAGTGAATTTCTCTGAGACCGTACATGCCACAGTTTTAAGTCTGGTCCTGTACAGAGCACATTCAAGGCTTTTTAGAGACATCGAATGTTTGGAGGTTTGATCATAAACGCAACTTCTCCTTAGTCTTTAATTGTGACTGATACTGACAGAATGATCAAATTTAGCACTCTTAATTTAGTACTCTTAGGGAAATATGCTTATGTTTTGTAATTATCATTTAAATCTGGCTAATTTTCAAATTGTTTGTCGTGAATAAACATCTCAGACAAATGTTGTGGGGTTTCAAATCGGAATATGACTTTTTGTTATGAAACGGGGCATAATTTTCATACATGTTTTCTGTAGAGGACACCAAGACAAACATCATGTTAATCATGCATTTTGGAGAAACACAAGTCAATAGGGAAAAAAAATTATAGATCAATATTCCTATGAAATATGAGACATTCTTATAAAAGTATCTTATAGAAGTTATTTCTTCCATTATTCCGCTTCTCTTTTCATTATGGTTTGCCCCAAGAACACATTGATATGCAAATTAGATGCAATGTAAAGATACATTGTATAGAATGAGAATACCAATGTATGGACATTTTACGCACATATTCCAGAAAGTACAATAGTATATCAAATCATTCTGTTATATCTTACATAACATAGTTGTGAATCATCTTTGTACAAAGTTTGGCTAAAATAGCTTGAAACTTAAAAACTGATTAGTGAATGAAAAAATAAAACCTATACATGCCTTGTCCTCTACAAAGGACATAGAATAAAATATCTTGTTTCAAAAATGTTTTTTTTTTTCTCCATTTGTTTCTTATGCTCCAACCAATATAATGACAAAAACAACAAAATTCACAAAACTTTTTTTTTTTCAGGTTCTCAGGAGGATATTAGTTAATGTCCACTAGATGGCGCTGTTGCATACAGATTAACTGGAAGGAGGCAATGGAAACTGGACCAGAGTTTGGTATGCACTTCCGGCCTTTGCACCGTAACATTTGATCCTGTGCATTAATTTGATCTGGACAAAACACCCCCGGCTAGACACTGAAAGCTAAACACAGACATGGAAATACAATACAGTAATGCGGAATCCCTCCTCGGTTACCGCAAAAGACAAACATGCAGGACATGTCAAGTTCAACCTGACTGAAAGTGACACAGGCATTCCTGAAGCTTCCACTGCCAAGATGTTTTCCCCTCAACGCTGCTCGCGTTTCACACCGCGGCGAGGGTTCATAAAAAATGCTCCGCTTTTGTTATTAATGGTCTGTTGAGAGAAAACTGGACTCTTTAATTATTCGTTCGAGTCATGTTCTTTCATGCTAATGATGCAAGATGCAAGTTTAGACGTTTTCTCTGCCGCCGCGTGCGTTAGTCCTCCAGGATTCACCTGGGGGGTGGGGGGGTTTGCGTGCCAGCCAAGCGCTCTTTATTGACATAGGAAATCCATATGCCTCGCATTTCCCTTGATGAGTTCTGCAAGTGCGCGGCTCCTTCCGGTGACTCATGCTGCACTTGTGTGGACCGGAGACTGTGGCTTTCCATTTACCTCTGGAGCTCCGCCACGGCGTCTGCGCAGCTGTAACCCGGCACGCTTTCAAAACCAGACAGCTACAGAAAGCCCTCCCTCTCCCCCGGCTCAAAACAATGGAGCCACATCTGCCCCAGTGCTTTAATGGTGCTGTTGGTCTGAAAGTCTTGTTGAATGTGAGAGAAAGAGCAAAAAGGAATGCTTAGGTCACACTTTCACGCTGAACTCCGTGTTAATAATCCCAGAATGCTCTTAAAAAGGAAGACGGCAGGAAGAAGTGGCGCAGTGAAACTCTTGCATGACAAACACAGTTATTGGCAATGAATGGTTTGTCTTTCTTTTTGACGTGAATATTTTAGCTGTTAATGTACATAGGCCATAAGGGGAACCAGGCTAGTTGTCCCAATTATTATATCTTCGTAATATACAGTAGTAGAGTATAGTAGAGTTTTTATCATCATATATTACTTACATAGAGTCTTTTGTATTTACAAACATGTCAGTTTGGGGCAAATTGCATGTTTAATGTGTGGAAAATTTGTATAATCCAAAATTGCTGTTAGCAAATTTTTTATTATGTAATAGATTTTAAGTATAATATATGTATATGTAATATAAATATATGTAATTTATTTAATATTACATTTTTTAAATATATATTTTTGTTATTATATTACTAATGTGAGAGTGTGAGAGTATTATATATACAGGTGCATCTCAATAAATTAGAATGTCGTGGAAAAGTTCATTTATTTCAGTAATTCAACTCAAATTGTGAAACTCATGTATTAAATAAATTCAATGCACACAGACTGAAGTAGTTTAAGTCTTTGGTTCTTTTAATTGTGATGATTTTGGCTCACATTTAACAAAAACCCACCAATTCACAACAAATTAGAATAAATATTTTGAAATGTTATACAAAACGACAAAAAAAGAAAAAGTTTGGTATTATTAATGGTATGATTTTTTTTTTTTTTTTAGTTTTTACATACTTTTATATAATAATGTTCAGTAGTTTTTTGTAGTCAAAATTTTAATGTTTCTTCACAGATATTGGCATTCAGAAGCAAGCCTGCGCTGAGATATATTCACTGGAGTTGACAAGTGACAACTATCCCAAGTAAGTAGCTAATATTTTACCATTATGGGTTGTGGGAACTTGTTCTTATTCTGTTGATATACAGGGAAAATATGAAAATATTACAGATGCTATAATGAAATATGGTGACACATATTTCCAAATTTTGTAGTGGACAAAGAAACCAATCAATCCTAAGCTCTGAAAATATCTTCTGTATTTATATTGGAGGTTTTAGTAGATGCATGCTGCTAAAGTGACCAAAACAACCACTTAGTGTATGCTCTGGTTATGAGCTGTAGTCGTAGTTTTCCTCCTGTATTGCTGGAATGGGGGAATGTTGTCCTAGACTGACCCGGAGTTGCTCTCAGTTCTACCCGTTTGCTGGAAAGCATTAGCATGTTGGACCATAGTGAGTTTTCAATACAAAATAACCACGTAAATCTCTGCCCGGTTTCAGATTTAACCACATTGTTAATAGTCTTCCAGTCAAACGTACTTCCAGGCCAATGTTCCTCTGTGGTTGGTAGTTCTTCCATCTCTATTCAAAATAAATGTTATCATGGAGAATACTGTGCTTGAAACTCAACAAGATGACCAGACATTTTTCAGCAGAAGCAATGGGAGTGTGTGATGTTGATGATGAGAGGACAGGGTTTAAACTCTTTAACTTCCTGAGTGTGTTTCTGTCCAATTGAAATGCCTGTTATGAAGCTTTTAGTGACAATATACTTGAACAAATAAGGAGGTTTGGAAAGTTTTGAACCAGTTTTTTAGACTGTACTTTTGTAAAATGATTGGAAATGACTGTATTGCAGTGAAAAGTATTGCGAAAAACTAGTAAACTAATAAAATAAAAAATACAAAAAACAACAAAATTACTAAATCTAAGTAATAAAGTGAAAACAAAAAATATTAAAAAATAAAATCTAATTGTTTATAACATTCAATTCTATGCATAAACATTATATATATTCACAGACCAAATTAAATGTATTTTGTAAATATAAACGCATTTTATTTTTGAGGACTGCAGCACACTCCAAAAAAGTTGGGACAGAGGCAAAATAAAAGTGAAAAGGTTATAAAATATCCAAATTAAG